CCCTAACATCTCAGCTTGTGTCACGTTAACATTTTTGTTCCACACTGTCCCTGCTTGTATTTACAGAAATGTGATTTTTATAAATGTTCACGTTTCTGAATAAACATGAGTAAAAGCCTACAGTACGGGTGGTTTTTCCAAGCCTGCAGCACTTCGTCACTCCGTATTTAGTAATGAATCCAACAAAATTCCATCGCAGATACAAATTTTGTGACCGCACAGGCAATTGTGCAATGGTTGACAATCAGCTACCATGGTCGTCGCAGTAACAGGCCTCTCTAAATCTCGGTGGTTAACATCAAAACGCTGCATCTTTGTAATTTTTGTGGTTTTAAATTTCTGACAAATACACCCTGGAGAATCTCTACTGCTTGACTGTAACTAAATTTGGGCAGCAGGAACCTAACCGTTCCACGCCACTTAGTCATTATGATATGTACAGATATGAGGCTGGTATATTCCACTGTAATTTTTAGGAAGTTTAAAAAAAAAAATCCAAAGTGTCATACTGCGCCTTTTAGACCATTTTGAGACCCTAAAACTCTTCACTGAAACTGCTACAGCTGGAAATGAAAGTGGCTGCTGAGGGAAAATCCACTGTTAAAGTGTCAAGAAAAGCCGCTTTACATCTGTGAATCGATCCACTGCGGTTGTGAGAAGGTTGTGAGAAGGTTTCATCAAGACCGAAGGTGGTAAAAGAAGAGGAACAAGATACTACTACAGCTGAAGTGAGAGCTTTAAAATAATAAGTATAAGTACAAGATTTTTGAATGACAGTGATAATTACAGAATACAGACTTGTGTGGAATCGAATCTTTCTCTCCTAATATAAATAATACCTAATAAATACAGGTTAACAAGTGTTTGTTTTTTTGTAATATTAATCTATGTGAAATTTAAAGTCCTTTCATTTCTAACCCGAGTAATGAGACACAATTATTCAGGCTCACTTAGGAGCCAGTTAAAATTACACATGTGACAGCAAGATGACTCGAGTGAAATTTCAGTATGTCTGCGGTGTGTGATGTAAAAGCTGCCTACTCATTTGCTTTTGGTCGGTGCACAAATAGACACATGGTTTACTTTCATTTGAATGAGCCATCTGTGGTTTGCATCTCTCAATGCAACATGAAGAGCAGAAGTAGCCTTTACAGTCCTCTGCTGACTGCATGCTCAAAGAAGTGAAGCAACCTAGCCGCAACCCAGTACAGGCGAGGGTAACAGCTCCTGAAGTGAACCGAGTCGTACATGTGGATGTTTTGCTCGTATGCTACAATGCTCTAATCTCAGTAAGCTGGTCAATGCATAAAGGTGCCAGTACCAAATCTTAGGAAAATTGTCACCAGATTCTTCAGTTCTCCTCATCTCTACAGAGTATGTCAGAGTGCTCCAGCTCACTGTTTCGATTTTCCCAAGTGTGAATACATTCTTCTTAGAGTTGGACACAGAAGCATAAATCTTATCTTATTAAGTTATTCTGTATCTGCTAGAAATGTAAATTTGTCTACTGAATTCTTGCAACAGTTTCAAAGTTGCTATTTAAGCTTCTTTCCTAAAGTGACCAAAAATGAATTCATGAATTAAAATGAAAACAAAAAGAACAGATACAGACTTAGTGTCTGTGTTTGTTTGTTTTTTCCTTCTTGCCATCCTGGGTATGAATCCACCAGTTGAGGCCTTTCTGTGCAGTTGATTGTTCTCCCTGTGCCTCAGGGCACTCCAGTTTCATCTCATGCTCCAAAGCACGTATGAGAGGTTAGTTGGTGGTTCTAAATTGGCCGCAGTTATGAATGTGAATGTGAATGAGTGTCTTTCTTTGTGTGTTGACTGAACAATAAACTGGCAACATGTCCAGAATGGATGGCTGAATGACACGCAGTTCACTACACAATCTTATTTTTAACTTTCTTTTTTTTAGAACCTACTGTGTGGTGGATTCTTTGAATTCTTCTGGTTTTGACCTCAATGAATTATGATGCTGTTGAAAAGAAGTCTCAGCAAGAACATGGGTTAGACTGATTTGCCCGCCTGTGGCTTTCAGTAGGGTTTCACTTTGCATCAGTCATTTGGATCCCGTCTCTTTCTTGGTTCTGTATTTTCCTTCAACACACAAACAGATTTTAAATTCAGCTGAATCTCACCTGCCTTTAAGAATGTAGCTGAACTTAAATGACCCTCACAACTTCAACTCTTGCCCTTCTCTACTTTTGCCTGTGTTTCTATAGCAACTTTGCATTTATATTTCCCCTAATTTGTCTAGATGAAGGCAGAGCACACACATAGCAACCTGTAATCAGTCAGTTCCTGCTTTGACTTCATTTCCATGCTTACCTACTCACAACACAGCTATACACAAGAGAGGCCTTTCTTGTCATTAGGAACACAACAATGTGACTTCTCTGTGATTCAGTAATTCCTAGAGGGCAAAAGAAAGTTTATCACATCAAGTCACACTTTTCTTTGTCACAATGTGAACAGATTCACAGTAAAATATACTGAAGAGACTCTTTACTTCATTGAAAACCACTGTGTGGCTGCTGTTGTGAGAACTGTAATTAAAAGTACGTGACCACTTGCTGAGTTGCAGAATTTCTCGCACAGAGGTGAAAGAGGTGCACAAGCTCTATTCTTCACATCTTGAGAAACCTGCTTCCCCTACAGCCCTTTGACTTGCTCAGCATTCAGTATTACAACATCAGCAGATAAATAATGACATGACTTTAAATTATCGCTATTACAGGAACACGTTTTTCTGTGTGTGTTTTAAATATAATCTTTCAAATTTGTCTCAGTTTTTGACTTGAATATATAAAGTGCACAAGTTTGAGCTCTGCTACTTCCTCCTGCTAAGCTTCCAATTTAGGTACTGTGGATGCAAAATGGTGCAAGTGACAAGAGGAAGTTTCTACAATACAGCAGGTCACTAGGCAACACAAAGAAGAAATGCATGATTGTGTTTGTTACAAAGAGAGCTGAACAAACACACCGATCATAATACATAATGTCAAAGAACAAGGGTCTTTAAATAAAGGTCTAAATAAAATATTCAAATAGGCTTCCTCCTATTGTCTGCCTCTCACACACATACACACATACGTTTTCATGCTCACTCTCACAAATGTGCAGTTTCCCTTCCTCTCTCTCCTTCAAACGCACTCACTCAATATTCAGCTCATATCCGGGATGGCAACTCTATACTTCTCTGACTCCAGCCACATGAATGAAGAAAATAGGGACAGGGAAACCCCATGTCACTCATTATGAAACTCACACACACTTTACACCAGAGTTAGTCTACATCTTTACTCTTAATGAGTCCAAAAAGCAGAGAAACGAGGGGGTGCTAGGATAACTGCCAACAGAAAATCTGAAAAAGAAAGTTAGTAGAAAGCTGAGTGCTGTTTCTTTAGCTCTGTAAGCTGAATATGAAGGAAAATCAAGTGGAAATATGAGAAAAGCGAGAGAAGGGAAAAACAAAGCTTGGAAAATATTTGTTCCAATTTCACATCAATGCAGAACATGTGGTGAAATTTCAGCCAACAAATTGCTCATGTTAAATTTGTTTAAGCTGTCACTGGAGCGCCCCCTTTAAGCGCAAAACACTAATTAACCCTACCTAATTTGAAAGCAAAGATGCAAAAAAAAGAGCATCAAAATAACCACAAATATGAGACTGATCTTGTTTTTTTTATACAATAACTTCTGCTCAGCTATTAATTATGAGGTCCTTGGCCAGAGGTTTTTGAAAATAAGTGTGTTCAAACCACATGAAAAATGACATAAAGTAAGTATTTGATTTCAAACAACCTCAATAACCCTATAATAAAAAAAGAAAAAAATGGAAAGAGCCACCATTTAGTGTTAGTGTACCTCTTATGGTCAATATTGTTTTAAGGTAGACCATAAAATTAACATCATGCTGTATTAGGAAATAAATGAGGAACCAGCAATCAAGACCATTAAATCGATTGGAAAATGTTTACAGAGGTCATAACTGGAGAAGTAGGGTCGTTTTCCCACTTGATTTTTATTTTTGGGATGACCTAAACACAAGATCCAACAGAGTCACGGAGAGCATATACAAGTAAAATAAATAACTGCATATAATAAGAGTGTCGTTTTGTTAAAAAAAAAATCCTACATTGGTCGGATTATTATCATTATTTTGATGGCGAAGCACAAAATACTTGTATGTCAGAGATGTATTTTTAATCATTTAGAACTGCAAAATTACTTCTTATATTCTGTGTATTTATTTATTCATTCTGGTAGGGGTAAGGTGGGTGTTCTCAGGTTTTCAAATCCGAATAGCTTTACTCGTTTCCGACAGCACCTGAACGCACCTCTCCCAGTTGCTCCCTTCACTACGGCAGTGTTGGTTCATAATGAAGAGACGCTCATTGCGCTCTGGTTTGCTTTTTTCCCCAGGAGGTGACGCTCGCCAACCACACACTGATAAAGACTGAGCTATAAAAAGGATCGGCGGAGTTCACATGGATTTTTTTTCTTTGCAGGTTTCGCACGATAATAATAACCGGGCGCAGCTCGCGTGACGCGCTTGGATACGGAACACACAAAAAATGCGGACAGGGTGCAGCCCTGTCAAGAAAACCGTTTCAGGTCCAGTCATTCAATAACGTTTTTAAAAAATACAAAAAGGAAGAGGAAGGCCGGGTTACTATCTCTATCTGACACCGCATACTTCCTTTTATCTTTGTGCAAACCGCCCATTACGCATGAGTGAGCGTTGCACGGCCCTCAAACCTCCCTGAACCTCTTAAAACAGATAGCATCTCTAATGTGTCTAGGTCTGTGCAAAAAGTACTGAAATACTGCAGTGAATCTGCAAAAAGAAAATCAGCTTTAGTGAATGCAAAGTTCCATCAAAGTCATAATCTGCTTCCTCGTTTGGGCTTTGAAGGGAGCACAGCTGTGAAGTGGTGAATTTATTTGATTTATATGCGTGTAATTCATAAAATAATATGAACTGACAGACTTACCCCCACATCACTGGCGGTCAGGCGCAAACGTTGCACTTCTGTTTCTTTTTTAAATTCAGCCAACATTTGCGAGGCGCGCTTTTGCACCAATATGACCTGACACATTTTCTTTCACTTTCAGACTTTTGCAGTACGGTGTAAAAGTCATCCTCTAACACACAGCAACGCACTTGAGCGCTTTCCATCTTTCTCTCACCTCTCACTAACTTTCTTAATTGCTGAAACAAACTTGTCCGCTCTAGCTCCACCATTCATACTGAAGTGTCTGCCAGACTTGCAGTGTAATACATTTTCGTATTTTTGGTCACACCCACCGTTTTCAGTCCGCCCAGCCCTCTATGTGGCGCCAGGGGAAGCCTCATGAATGGAGTCCTCTGGTCATCAACGCTGAATTTAATCACATGGAGACGAAATTTACCTGAACACTCTTAACAGTGGTTCACGGTACAAAATTCCACTTAGCGTTATGAACAATGGGTTCAAGTTAACCCAGTGCATGAGTCTTAATGCAGAATACAAGCGTTGAAGCAGAATCCCTGGAACCAGAGATTAGGAAGTGCATAAAAACGCATTAAAACATGTTGGATGTGTGCATTATGATTGCACTTATATAACACTCAATAAGTAGGAGTAGAAACAAAGTAATTTAGTACAAAGTCCAGTTTCACAGCTCTTATGTGCATAAGAAGATAATGTTACAGCAAACCATCTTTGAGATTAATGCAGGCATTTCACACATTTCAAAGTTTACTTTATTCATCCAAAGCGTCAACCCCCATAGCAACTCTCTGAGGCTGTAATTAGCTTAGTGAGCCACAAAAATGCTTGCAGGTACCTGTAAACGCTCATCAAATGCACATTCGCTTATTAACAAAAAATCATAAACTATACAAAATATAGTTTATGGGCGTGGCTTCCAAGTGAAACCAGTGCATTCTTTCTGAGGACCCTCTGTGACCTCAGGAAACACTTTCATGATCTCAGCTGCTAGCTTATAGTTGTACTGAATACAACTGTGTACATTTTTTAGATTAGGGTTGTTACTAGATTAAAAAAGGATGATATAGCAGAGTATGCTTTATAGCAGGCCTATATTGTGATGTTAATAGTTACTGATCCACAGTTTCTTAGTCAAAGTCCAATTAGAAAACGGCAAGATGACAACAGCAAAAACAGAGGCCAACAGGCTAACATTATGTTGACTAGGTCCATCTTTTATTTACAATCTATGGTGTGAACAAAATTCACTATAACCGAGCCATGAGAACTAACCTGCAAGAAGTACACATAAAATTAAAGTTGCAATGTGATAAGGAAACCCATAATATACGCTGTTCATCTGCCACGCTTTACAGTGTGGGACATTATGCAGATATATTAAAAGCAATCAAGCATTAAAAGACAGGGAAATAAAGCGCATTTTCATGAACACACACAGGAAGCAAAAGCAGAAGTTTGGGCGAAAGCTGGGGTGACTTCCCTGTTGCATGTTTCGTTTGGTTTTTGGTGCTTTGCTCAGAAGTACCAATGTTCTATTAATAGATGGTAAAGGGTATCCTTTTCACTGCTCTGCATGTTTGGAAGTGGTAGCCTATGTCAGTGAAAATGCTTAAGCCTCAGTGGGATGAATATGATCACTTCCTCTTGTGGAAACAGTTCTCTATTTAACAAGATGAACCAAGATGAACTCTGCCCATCTTTAGTGTGCTGAGTGAGAAATTTCCTGTTTAGACTTACATAATTTCTATGTCCGCGCAAACTCTGTTTAAGTTTCTACACTTGATGTAACTACTAGTTACATCAAGTGTAGAAGTAAATAGACGTTACAGGATGGGGAAGTGCAGTTTTGTCATGTCAGGATCTCCTGCCATGAAAGAAGCGTTCGCCCAATGTGTCAGAAAACTAACCAAAGTTCCAATGAATTAATTTCTGTTCATAATTCAGAGAAACAAACAGAAAGACTTCCATTAAGTAAGGACAGCCCTAAATTAGTCCGTTTTTCTTTACTCAAAACTAAATGTATTTCCCTGTGACCTTACATTTTCTAAAGAGGTTTCAGTTCTTCAACTTGAAAACTGTCATATGTGACTGTTAAATTTGGAGGAAGGGCCAGCACACAATTAGCTTAACTCAGCAGAAATGTGATAACAGGGTGCAAAAGGTCGATGCGCATTCATTTCAACGACGTTCTACATATATGGTGACTGGTGAGGGCACTGAAGTCCATTGAACTTGTGGGTGCTGGAGACCCTGAATTGGAAAAAGGAAGGATGGTTGCTTCTTTCTGAGCTGACAGGGTCTCATAGCACTCAGTCAAAGATAAAGATAAAGAGGACTTTAACTTTTAAACATAACTTCCTCAAAACACAGTCATAAAGAAGTTAATATTAAAACTGAGCTGTGTCTGTTCTCGTGGCTGACATTCTGTCATAAAACGGCAGTTTATTAAGCTAGAAAAGACGACTACCTTGCTTTATTGTTCCAGGGGCACAAATATTCAAGGTTTGGTACTTTTAGCCACTTTTGAAACACCGCTACAGTTCCTGTCACACCAAATATGTGAGTTGCCATTTTAAACGACTGTTGTTGTTTTTTCACCTAATCCTGGGCAACAAATTAAATTTCCAAAGTTGTAGAGTATATTGTGACCACGTCTGTAAAAGCAGTTTGATCAGTTAGCTGGTCAGAAGCATTGTATATTTACACAATACCACAATCTTCCTAGGATTGAATGTCCCAATAAATTCACACCAAGGAAGTGTAGCCAGAAGGACATCTTCTCTCTAAAAGAAGAATATAGCAGCATGGCTAAGGTTTGCAAAGTTGCATACGAACCAACCACAAGACTTCTGGGACAAACGAGTCTAAAATGGAGATGTCTGGCCAGAATGCAGAGTGGCATGTCTGAAAAGCAGAAAGAATGTGTCAACACAAACACCTCACACCAACTGTCAAGTGCAGTGGTGGAGGGGTGACCATTTGGGCTGATGCTGTTAAAAAAAAGAAGTTCCTTATGAGGATATGAGAAACTAATAAAGTCATACAGAAAACAAGTAATTCAAGTTATTGCTGCTAAACGTGGTTTTACAAGCTGCTAAATCATGGAGTGTGTGTACATAGACTTAGTTTTTACGACTATGTACTTTGCTTTCTCTTGTACATATAATTTTGGCCTATCTGGAAGGTTTCCTATAGTTTCTTCTGATTGAGGTACAACCAGTTAAAGATGTAGAGCTAACTGGCTTAAACCAGATGTCACAAGAATGGTGGGAATCTAATAAATTGAATGACACAGCACATTTATACAATAGTGATTTGTCAATAGATAGGCCCACTCTAAGACAGGGCCTGTCTTTATAAGTACCAGCCCATTTACCAGTAGCTCAGCTGAGCACTCTATAAGGTTCATTCACCCAATCTCACACAGATTCATACATCACCTTTATCTATGCCTCTCACGTACATGGATGCATCTGGGAGAACTCTGAATTATGTATCATCCCAAAGGATACTTTAGCTGGAGACAGGAATCAGTCGTCTCTATTGGTAAGCTACCTGCTCTATCAGGTAGCCACCCTTTAATGAGGACCATGAATAGCACATAATATTGTTTTAAAAGAAAATAGAAATCCCCCAAAACAGACGTCTGAGCGTCCATTGACTTCTATAGACCTGGGCTTTTCCAACTGGGGGAGTTACCATTGGATGTTCGCAGAAAAGAATGCAAGTTTAAGCAACTTCCACAAAGGCGTCACTCTTCAAATTTAGAATGTGCATCCTTCCTTTGCAGTCTATTGTTGGTTGTAGCAGCTGTTGGACTGCCATGTCATGGACTGGCCAGAAAAGCTGCAAAGTATAATATCATTGTATTCTGTTCTAAAAATTACCTATCAGTATCAAAGCTTCTTGATCCCATTCAGAAAATTTTACAGTAAGTGATCATTTTTAATGTTTTAAATATTTGGCCTTGATTTTACAATAAATATATCTACTAATGTCAAAACATAACGTCAGAATTCCCTTTTAATCATTTCAATATTATTCTTGGTTTGCCTTCTTGGTGGTCTAAAATCAAGTTGTGTTTGTATGAGGGTTAAAACAAAATACAAGTCTATGTGCGCCTTTGTGTAAAGTTAAAACACGAGAAAAGCCAGAGTGTGAGGGCGTGTTCACCCATGGCACACTTAAATTGGCTTATTGTGAAAACAAACACAACTGAATTTTTTTTCCCCTTGCCTTCTGGAGGCAGATCTTTTCCCACAGGCTCAATGAACTGGTATTACAAACACTGCACTCAGTCAAGCATCCCTGTTTCCCAAGATTGTAAATGCATATTTCTTTTAATCTGTTTGCGTTTTATCTTTTCAATTTAAAAAAAATCCTACGCTACTACCTTAACATTATCCATTCATTCATCATTATGATCCTCCATCCTAAGCCCTTTATCCAGGTACGGATCATAGGGGCACCAGTCTAAGAAGAGGTGCCAGGATCATCTTCTCCCTGGTACCAAAGAGTTCCCCAAGCCAGCTGCGAAATATTATCTATTCAGCAAGTCTTTAGTCTGCCCAAGGCCCTCCTCCAAATTGGACATGCACAAAACACCTCACTCAGGAGGCATGCCAGAAGGCATCCCAGTCAGATGTGTGGTGAACAACCACAACTGGCTCCTTTCAATGTGGAAGAATAGCAGCTCTATTCCAAGCACCTCCCCACCCTCTCTCTTCGTGTGAATTTGGCTACCCTTTGGAAAAAGCTCTTGACCACTTGACCAGATCACTTTCAAATTTAGCTGTCTCTTTACCACACCCAACATGCACAACAATGAAGACACCACATCAGTCAATAGGTCAGTCTCACAGTCCCGCTTTACTTCACATATGAACAAGACATGTTTTTCTGGCTAAGAACCATGGCCTCAGACTTAAAAGTTGCTCATTCTCATTCCTGCCACTTCAAAGTAGGTTGCAAACCACTCTGGTGCAAGCTGGAGGTCATGACTTGATTTAGCCAACAAAACCACATCATCTGCCAGCAGATGAGATCCCTGACCATCAAATCTGCCACTGTAGGCCCCTCAGCTGTGCATAGTAATTCTTTCCACAAAAGAATTAGTGACAAAGGGCAACAGCCACTGGAAACTGGCAATGTGAGCCAAGCTCTCATTGCTGTTGTACAGGGACTGAATGTGAATGGCCCAGAACAACAGGTCCAATACCCCATACTCCTGAGGCAACCCCAAC